TCCAATGCTTTCTCGTATATGCTGCTTTTCGTCCGCTGAGGTCTGCTCGTTCCTCCTCCACACGCAGAGGATGCGCGCACCCGCCGCCGCCGCCGCTGCTGCTGCTGCTGCTGGGGAAGCACGCTCTGCGCTTTTTTTGGCCTGGGCTCGATTCCGCTGATTTAGTGGGATGATTATTCCCGCAGTGTTCTTCTAGGGTGCTACCCACCCCTTCAGGATCTATTTCGATCCGTTCGACGTGATACAATGCAGATTTTCGCACGGCGTCCGACGTTAGCGGCCTGATGTTTGCATGGCGCTGTCGTGCATCTTGGAGTGGCCGATCCGATCCGATTTCGTCTGCGTGCCGATGCAGCCCGATCCGACGCACATTCCTATCCGATCCGATTTCGCGACTCCGCGACGCTGACTGATCCTGCCCGTCGGTTCGGTTCGGTCTGTTGTTGCGTCGTTCTCGCGTCGCTGCGCGCTTCTAGGCTCCAGGCTGCTTCCAGCCTGTCGGTTTTGGTCGGGTTCGGTGTCGCTGTCGGCTCGGTCGGTTGTCGGTCGTGCTGTCGCCGTGGACGGTCTTGGCCCTGCTCAGCGGGCCCCCCCGCAGCGGCTGTTGGCCAAATGAGGAGCACACCGGGTCTCAGATGCAACCTGCGATGCCTTGGGCGGATCGCACCTGAACCGGCTGTTTTCCCTTTTTTCCTCCGCAGCCTCTACAGCCCAGGAGTCCGAGAAGGGAATTTATACATGACCAACGCCTGGAGGATCTTTTCGGGGACCTCTGCAGCGGTGGATATGGATCCATTCGGGCCCCGGGGGGGCAACATATATCCATATCCACCGCCCGGTTGGGCACCAGGACGTCGGTTCCCAGGCGGTGGATATGGATAAATCCCCGCCTCGCAAGTAGTTCCAGCCTAGTCCAGGCGGTGCTCATCACCAGGCAGGGAGGGTCGATGCTTCCTTTTGGAAGGCAAGCGGCTCGCCTCCGCTCCGCCCTGTACCTTCTCGCGTCGTGGAAGGCATCACGACTGGAGGTTCTTGCCGACTCGGCTCCTGGGGGCCTCGCCAGGTCCTGGGACCGCCAAGACACGCCCTGGGACGAGTGCCTGGCACCTGGACCTCTCGACCCCTGCCCCCGAACCAGTTTTTCGCCCAGGATCGTTTTGAGAGAACTGCGTATCCTTGGAAGCCGCACTCGATTTCCAAAAGCATGCCGTGCTCTCAGGTTTCTGGACGTCGAACCCGAGTTCCGAAGACACGCAGTTCTCTCGCACCTGGACCTCTCGACCCCTTCCCTAGCGGAACGAAGAATCACATAAACACAACAACTCGGAGGTCCGCGCGGATTTCTCGGATCGGCGCTGGACCCCCTGGCGGCGCCTCCGGCGCCGATCCCCCAAACCGCGTGGACCTCCGAGATTTTATGTTTATTCCCAACTCTCCTTGGTTGGGTATTCGTTTTGAAGAGAGCACGGCGATCGCGTCCTCCTCCCGCCTCCCGCTTCCTGCCTCCCGCCTCCTGCCCCCCCCTCCTTCTTGTCTCCTCTTGCCTTGCCAGGGGGGCTGCGATCTGCGAACTTGTCGCCACTTTGGAGGGCTGCTGGTGGGTCCAGCGGGGTGAGGCACCGCGCGGACCTGAGCGGGACCTCCCCGTCCCTGGAGGGCTGCGATCTGCGAACTTGTCGCCACTTTGGAGGGCTGCTGGTGGGTCCAGCGGAGTGAGGCACCGCGCGGACCTGAGCGGGACCTCCCCGTCCCCGGGGGGCTGCGATCTGCGAAATGGTCTGCTGGTGGGCTCGCCACTTTCGAAGGCTGCTGGTGGGTCCAGCGGAGTGAGGCACTGCGCAGACCTGAGCGGGGCTTTGCCGTCCTTGGGGGCCATGTCATGTTGTTGCTGCCCCGCGGACGTTTCAAGCCCCTTGCCCACCGTCTCCTTTTGGACCTTGCGTCTTCTTTAGTGACTCAGGACTCAGGGGTTCACTTAATTACTTATCGTATTTCCCTTGATTGGGGGCCTGCGAACCTTCCGAATGCCGCTTGCATAAGTATATGCGTCCATGCCACGTCTCCGCCTTGTCGTCAAATCTCCCAAGCTACTCCTGCCCCGCATTGCCCATGGGTTGGGTACGTCGCCAGAGTAATGTAACTATTCTTCACCGCGCAGCCCCTCGGCTGCTTGGTGAGTGGGCCGGCCGGCTTGCGGCGCGTTTACTAGCTAGTTAGGCCGTTGCCGTGTCCCAGGACGCTTCTGACTCCGCTTGCGCTTTCGCTGGCGGACGCGACCGAAAAAGTATCCCCACCAGTTTGTCGCCACCGGGAGTTCCATGCCACCAGGTTGGGAGTGCCGCTCCTGTTTCATATCTGAGTGGCTGCCCGCGCGCTCGCTTCGCTTGCCCCTCTCTTTTCTTGCTGCCTAGTCGCGGCCCGGCTAGTGATCGGACGGCTTTCGACTTGCTTCTCGAGCCCGCAGACCAAAAAGTGCCCCCACCAGCCCTGTCGACGCCGCGCGGGTGCCCGTCTGCGGTCGCGATCAAAAAAGTATCCCCACCAGCCCATTCAGAAGCCCTGCCCATGAGAGCCGACGGGAAAAGGGACGAAGAGACACGTCTAGGGAAACAAAGCGAGCAACCGGGGTGAACCGAGAGATCTTTGGGAGCAAGGGGGTGGCCTTGGAAGGCCTCTTCGGGCCATCCCTGGGGGCCGCGTGGGGGCGAGGGAAGAGAAGGAGGAGGAGGAGGAGGAGGAGGAGGAGGAGGAGGAGGAGGGGAGGAGGAGGAGGAGGAGGAGGAGGAGGAGGAGGAGGAGGAGGAGGAGGGAGGAGGAGGAGGAGGAGGAGGAGGAGGAGGAGGAGGAGGAGGAGGAGGAGGAGGAGGTGGAGGAGGAGGAGGAGGAGGAGGAGGAGGAGGAGGAGGAGGAGGAGGAGGAGGAGGAGAGGAGGAGGAGGAGGAGGAGGAGGAGGAGGAGGAGGAGGGAGGAGGAGGAGGAGGAGGAGGAGGAGGAGGAGGAGTAGGAGGAGGAGGAGGAGGAAGAGGAGGAGGAGAGAAGGAGGAGGAGGAGGAGGAGGAGGAGGAGGAGGAGGAGGAGGAGGACGAGGACGCGGATGAGGACGAGGACGAGGAGGACGAGGACTAGTATGAGGACGACGCGGACGAGGACTCATGGAACCATCTGGAGGTATTCTTGCGGCTGCTGCTGCTGCTGGTGCTCTCTGGGAGTTCTGGGGGCCCTCTTGGAGCCCTCTTAGTAACCCTGGAAGGCTTCTTGGGATCATCTTGGAGGCCATCGATTACAGGATGGGGGGGGTCCCCACTCAGCTCCCCCCTCAGGAGCCCGAAAACCGCTTCTTGGGGCTCTCTTGGAGCGCTCTTGGACGGTCTTGGGGCCGTTTGGAGCATCTTGGGAGCCATCTTGAGCCAGTTTGGGCTATTTGAGCCATCTTGGAGTTCCTCTTAGGCTCGCTGAGGCCGCTCGGGGGCCTCTTGGGGCCGTCTTGGGGCCCTCTTGGGGCCCAAGAGGGGCTGTCTTGGGGCTCTCCTGGGAGCCCTGGAGCGGAGGGGGGCTCCCGATCTAGGCCCCCCCCTCGGGGGCCACGATCCTCGTGAGGGGTGTCAAAAATTGCCCTTCCCAGGAGCCGAAAAAGGGCGCTCCAACGACCCGCGAAACCCCCCAGAAAGTCCAGGGGAGGGGGGGTAGGGGGAGGGGTAAACCACTCCCCGAAGGGGAAGAGGGTTTTTGGAAGAGGAAAGAAATAATATCGTTAGACCACCTACGCCCAGAGGGCTGGTGGGATTTTTCGTTCCCCTATTTTCCCAAGCCAGTTTTTCGTCCAGGACCGTCTCTTGACAGTTCCGCAGCCCCACACCGGCCTCCCGGCGCTCCACAAGGACCGGAAACATGGGCCGCCCTCGTGTCGCCGAGGCGCTGCACGCCTGGGCGTGCGCGCTGCCGCCCGCTCAGCGAGTCTCCACCCACCGGACCACCTCAGCCAAGCCCGAAGGCCCAACTTGCCCTCCACTCCCCGTTGGGGGGGGGGCGTCGGGGAGCATTCGAAGGAGAGAAACGGCATAAACAGAAGCTTGTGGCGCTCCGCGCGGATTTCTTGGGATCCGCGCTGGGCCCCTCCCCCCGGCGGCGCCCCTGGCGCGTTCCGCGCGCCAGGGAGGGGTGTCCAGCGCAGACCCCAGAAATCCGCGCGCAGCGCTAAAAGTTTATGTTTTTGATTTTTCGTCTCCTTCTTCTTCTTCGTCGTTTTTTTTGCTCTCTTCTTTTTCGTCTTTTTCCTCTTGTTCTTCTCCTTCTTCTTCTTCTTCTTCTTCTAAGCATTGGACAAAAAACATCTACGGGACCCGTACCCCCCCAACCCGAAATTTGGGTCTTCGGGTTGGGTAGGGGTGGCCTGGTGGGCAGATCGCGAAGCTCCCCTCCGCAGCAGCTCCTGGCCCAAGGGGGGGGGGGGGCGGGGCCGCGCGCGTGGGCTCCCTGGCAGCGGGCACCCTCTCTGCCACTCGGGGGCGTGTAAGAGGGTGGTGGTGGCTCGGGGGGGGCACATCGTGGCCGGGGCCACGAACTCGCCTCGGATTTCGTGGGCCCCCTTCTTCTTCTTCTTCTTCCTCCTTCCTCTTCTTCTTCTTCGTCTTCTTCCTCTTCTTCCTGTACGTCTTCTTCTTCTTCTTCTTCTTCTTCTTCTTCCTCTTCCTTCTTCTCTTCGTCTTCATCCTCATCTTCCTCTTCTTCTTCGTCTTCTTCTTCTTCTTCTACTACTTAGTCGTCTTCTCAGGGTTCCTCTTATTCCTACTCTTATTCCTCTTCCTATTCTTCGCCTTCCTCCTTTGTCTCCTTTTTCCTCCTCCTCTTCGTGTTATTCCTCTTCTCCTGTCTCTTCTTTCAACGCGTCCTCCCCCCTCGTCCGCACACGTGCGTCGGGCCCTGCCCTGCGAGCCCCCCCCCCCCCCTGAGACCAGACGCTCCCGTCGCTCTGCCGGTCCCCGGGGGCGAGGCGGCCTCCCATGCCGGGCCCCGCCCTAGAGCCCTACCACGAGCGGCAGCGCGGGTGGCAGTTCGGGGCGGACGAAGGGGGGTACGTCGGACAAAAAAGCGGCGGCGAGAAGGAGAAAGGCTTCTCAGGAGCCCTCGCGCCTCCTGAGAAGCTTTCTGTGTCTTCGGGGAAGGCTCAGAAAACTTCTCAGAAGGCCGGGGGACTTCCGAGCCTTCTGAGAAGGCCTTCTCCTTCTCATTTCACCCTCTCGCTTGCCGCCAACAAAAGACTGCATAAGCATAAACTTTTGGCGCTCCGCGCGGATTTCTTGGGATCCGCGCCGGGGCCCTTGGCGCGCCCCTGGCGCCGCCCCTGGCGCGCGCGCCAGGGAGGGGGTCTGGCGCCAGGACGGGGGTGACAGTTCGGGGCGGACGAGTGGCAAGTTCCATCTGATTCCTCCGATTCTTTTCGATTCGACTTCGATTTCGATTCGATTCGACTTCGACGGGTATGGGTCCTTGACCTCCCAGCCCAGACGGTGGAAAATTACGACGGACAGCTTTCTCATGGTTTCGTTCTTTGGGGGCCCTCGCCGGACCCTGGGGCCGTAAAAAGTGACTCAGGATGGAATGCCAGTGCCGGGGAACGGGTCGGGACGTCCGGTGGGGGGCTAGCCATCAAAACCACACTGTACACACCCCTCCAGCAATTCTGAGGCCCTGAGACCAGCAGCCCAGGGGGGGGCTGAGTGACAAAAGGGCCGTCCAATACTAGGCGTCATCGCTCAGCGGCCCTGAGTGAAGCGGCACGCCACTCTTGGGATGTTTTCCCCTGGGCATGCAAGACCAAGCGTAACGGCGGCCGTTGTCACAGTTGTCTCTGGTGAGGGGTCCAAGGCCCTTGACCTCCCAGGAGGGCTCAAACATCAGCGGCGCCCGTAAAGGGGGTGCCGCGAGGGGGTTTGGCTTCTAAGAGGGTGGAGGGGCTTCCAAGAAGGCAGGGGGGCTGCAGTAGCCCGCCCAGCTTCTAAGAAGACGCCTCCGGGGCCTTCTGGGACTGCACCTGCCTCCTACCTCCGCCTTGCCCCCCTCACGCCGCCCCTTTTTGGGCACCATCTGAACCTGTGAACCTGAATGCTGGTCGAGGTTTGAAGCAGTGCTTCTAAGAAGCCCCCTAGGCCGCCTCTGGGGCCTTCTAGGAATGCCCCTGCCTTCTACCTCCGCCTCCGTAGAATGCCGCCCCCCTCGCGCCACACTTTTTTTGGGGGCACCGTGTGAACCTGCGAGTCTGAATTCCGGTCGAGGTTTGAAGCAGTGCAGATCGGTCCATGTACAGGTCCAGAAGGACATTTTTTTTTTTCTGGGGAGGTCAGGGCATACCAGTCCTTCCTGAGGCCGCCCACGATCCTGGGTGTCCCGGGTGCTCTGGGTCCGTGTGTTCCGGGTGTTCCGGGTGTGCCGGGTGCTCCCTGGGCCTGGGTGTCCAGGTTTTTCCGGGTGCTCCGGATCTGGGTGTTCCGGGTGTTCCAGGTGTCCCGGGTCTTGGGTGCTCCGGGTGCTCCGGATGCTCTGGGTTTTTCGGGTGCTCCGGGTGCCCCGGGTGCTCCAGGTGCTCCGGCGGAGGAGGAGAAGGAGGAGGAGGAGGAGAAGGAGGAGGAGGAGGAGGAGGAGGAGGAGGAGGAGGAGAGGAGGAGGAGGAGGAGGAGGAGGAGGAGGAAGAGGTGGAGGAGGAGGAGGAGGAGGAGAGGAGGGGGAGGAGGAGCAAGACGACGACTTCACCGCTGTGGCAACGAGGGCGGACATGGGGATCACTTTTGATACCGTAAGGGCTTCGCCCCATGCCGCCGGCCCCCCCTGTCTCGGATAATGGGAGATGCAAAAGCTAACTCATGAGGTCTGGGCGCCGCCGTGAACCAGTGTCGGGACCTGTTTGTTTTTCGACCCTGACCCTACGGATCTGCTTGAGGGGTGCCACCGAATTTCAGAAATGTGGCAAATCCCTTGAGTTTTGGGACCCTGACCCTACGGATCTGCGTGAGGGGTGCCGCCGAATTTCAGAAATGTGGCAAATCCCATGTGTTTTTGGACCCTGACCCTCGATCCGCGTGAGGGGCGCTACCGAATTTCAGAAATGTTGAGATTCCCCCGGGTTTTCGGACCCTGACCCCGCCGAGCCGATCTGCATGAGGCGAGCCAGCGAATTTCGGAAATGTGGCAAATCCCATGTGTTTTTGGACCCTGACCCCGCCGATCTGCGTGAGGGGTGCCAGCGAATTTGAGAAATGTGGCACATCCTTTGTGTTTTTGCACCCTGACCCCGCCGATCTGCGTGAGGGGTGTCACCGAATTTCAGAAACGTGACACATCCTTTGTGTTTTTGGACCCTGACCCCGCCGATCTGCGTGAGGGGTGCCAGCAAATTTCAGAAATGTGGCAAATCCCATGTGTTTGTGGACCCTGACCCCGCCGATCTGCATGAGGGGCGCCAGCGAATTTGAGAAATGTGGCACATCCTTTGTGTTTTTGGACCCTGACCTGGCCGATCTGCGTGAATGGTGTTTATTTTTTTATCCGCCCCAGCAATTCAGACAATACGCTTAGGGCGTGGTAAACCTGCCCGTTTGGGCCTCCCCCCCCTCGCGCGGTCCATCAATAAGGAACAGTTAGCAGCAAAACGCAGAATTGTAACAGTGGAAACTGGAAGCTGCAACTGGTACAGGAAACTGCGAACCTTCGGCCTACAGCCTGGTGGCCCCACAAGGGGGCTGGCGGATATCTGCGCGAGCACGCAGGCAGCATCCAGGAAGCGACGGGCTGGGCCAACCGAGCTGGCTGACCGACGCGCGAGGCAAATGCTAAGACATCGCAGGCCAAGGAAGAACGCGATTCCACTGCTCGCGAGGTGAGCGCTCAAGCTGCGTATTGTATTCCCGACGCGGCCCAGCGCGCAAATGCGTCGGGGCAACTGCCAGGCACAGAAACGCCTCGCCCCCTCGTGGCTGCGAGAAGCAATGGCGCAGGCATCCCGAACACGTGTCGGGAGTATCTTTCCGTCGGTTATTGATCTGGAACGACAGGCGCCCCCGCAGGCCCAAGCGCGGCCCCCGCGCGCCCACTTTCCCTCTCGGACAACCACCCTGCGTTGACCATGGAGGCCATCTCACGCAAGAAGAATGCGCCAGTCGAGCGGTTCATGGTACGCAGGACGAGCTTGTGCCTCCCTATCCGTCCAAACAGATGCTCGCATACTTGGCTATTGCGCCCCTCTATGTACGTTTGGTTGCAATCTGCCTTGGGTGCACGGGTCGACGTGGTTCTTGTCATGTAGTCCGTCCGTGATTTACTGCACCTTGGGGTAAGACAGCCTGTCATCCAACGGGCCGTGCTCCTTGCGCTTCGATGCGTGCCTCCGCAAATGACAAGCATCACCATGCCTGACCACATTGATGGCGGGAGATTTATCTACAAGCTCAGCCAGGAAGAAATAGCGTTGCGGTAAGCTTTCGGAGCCCGCGTACTCCTTCAGGTGGAGGAAATACCCTTCTGGCGTGCAGGCGTACAACCACCCGCATCGTTTCCCCCCGCGGCGGCTCGCCGTCCCAAGCTTCGACTCCTGATGCGTCTTGCACGACGCTGGTGTCAGATTCGCGACCGGTGTCTGGTGTCCGTTGTCCGGTGTCTGGTGTCTGGCGCGATTCACCTGCACTGTCCGCACGGTCGGACACGTGGTTGCGCCTACGAACATGCAACTCCCTGGCGATTTCCCATCGAACAGAAGGCCAGGATTATCTTATCATTGAACCACTCAACCAGATCAGCCAGAGCAGCTGGATCAACCGGATCAGCCGCATCACCTGGATCAGCGGAACCGAGCCGCTGGCCCAGCTGGATCACCCAGACCAGCTGGATCAGCCGGATCAGCCTGATTACAGGATGAACCAGATCAACGGGATCGACCAGATCATCCAGATCAGCTGGATCAGCTGGTTCAGCCGGATCAAGTGGATGAGTCGGATCAACGGCATCAGCTGGATCAGTCGGTTCACCCAGATCAGCCGATCAGCCGGATTACCCGGATGTGCAGGATCAGCCGGCCAGAGCACCAGAGCAGGCGTGCCGTCAAACTGCTATAACAATATTTCCCTTCCATCCTCCACCCAAGGTCGCCGAGCAATGAAATTGCGTTCCAGCGAGCGGCTTCTCGAAGACGGGTGCATCAAACCTCTGCCTGCTCTCTTCCTCTTTCGCCCAATTCCTCTAAGTCCGGGCTGATCCGGGTGTTCCGGATGCCCCGGGTGCTGCGGGGGTCCCTGCGTGCTCTGGCTCCGGGTGCTCTCCATGCAGGTGTCCCGGGTGCCCCTGGTGTTCTGGGTGTTCCCGGTGTCCTGGATGCTCCGGGAGTTCCGGGTGCTCGGGGTGGCCTGGGTGTTCCGGGTGTTCCGGGTGCTTCGGGTGCTCCTTATGCTCCAGGTGCTCCGGGTGGCCCGGGCGCTCCTGTCAGTCGCAGCGTGGTGTCGCGGCGTGGTATTGCAGCGTGGTGACACCTCCCCATGCCTAAAGCGCAACCCACCCCACGGTCAGGATCTACTATCCTGGCTGTTTCGGCGCCTCCCGGCGCCAGAGGCGCCCATGTGTTGATGAAGGCGCCAGCGACGGGGCAGAAGCTGGCTGCATGCACCAGCTTTCGTCGTACCACCCCCCACACAAGTGTGATGAACAACCAGTGTGATAAACAGACTCCGAACAAGTTCCCCAATCAGAGCTAGCCTCTGTAGGGGTCCTAGCGGATTCAGATGATTTGGTTAGCTGTGGCGCCGATTTCGGCGGCACGCCCGGGTGCCCGGGTTCGCGGGTGCCTGGTTGCCCAGGTGCCCGGGTGCCCGGGTGCCCTGTAGCCCTAAAGCCCTGTAGCCCTATAGTTTTATAGCCTTATAGCCCTATAGCCCTATATCTTTATAGCCCTATAGCCCCATAGCCTTATAGCCCTATAGCCCTATAGCCCAAATAGCCCCATAGCCCTACAGCCCTATAGCCCTACTAGCCCTACTAGAGCCCTATAGCCCTATAGCCCTATAACCCTAGAGCCCTATAGCCCGATAGCCCTATTACCCTACAGCCCCAGATCCTTATAGCCCTATAGCCCTACAGCCCTATAGCCCCGTAGACCTGTAGCCCTAACAAGATTCTGACTAAGGGTTTTTCTCTAGTATCATTACTTTGTTGTTGTTTTTGAATTTGTTATATGTTTTATCACACTTGCTTTTTGTTCCACTTCCTTGTTTTTTTGTCCCACTGCGGCTTTTTGGCGCCGGGAGGCGCCGGGAAAGCCAGCTGCCTGCAAGAGTTTTCGTGACACCCATTCCCATTTCGATCCGATCGATCCCATCCGACACCGATTCCGGCCAACTCGGTCCGATTCGATTCCGATATTCCGATCCGATGCGGTCCGATGCATGCATGGCGCTGCTGTGCATCCTGGCGCAGCCGATCTGATTCGATTTTGACTCCGCTCCGATGCAGCTGGATCCGGTGCACGTTCTGGTCCGATTCGATTTCGCGATTCCGATGCTGACTGAGTCTGCCCTTCGCCTCCCAGTACGGGGAAATCGGCTCTCTGGGCTAGATTGCCAACAGCGACGCAACAAAACGGGGTCGTCTTCGCTGACATTGGCGCGTAAACTCGCGCGTAAGCGCCCTCGTTCCCAATATAGCGTGCCGCGCCAGCGGCCCGCCTAAGCCACCGCGTAAGGTCGCTACGTCATCTCGCGTAAGACCCGTTTTTGATCGTCGCTCAACTGAGTTTTTCTTGGCACCTTGCGCCGCCCGCTGCGCTGCGAGCCCCGTCTGGAAAGGCCAGCGTGTCCCGCTCAGTACCGCATCCAGTCAGTATCGTGTCGCCGATCCCTATCCGTAAGTCGGGCATGTCCCTCTACAGGGGGAATACTCAAGGATAGTTAAAACATAATCGGGGGATTGTTATATTACATGATGCAATACGATAGAATATTATATTCTACTGTATGCTACTATAACATATCACAGCATAGCATACTATTTTACACCATGTAGTTCTATATCATAGGATGCCATATTTTTTATTGTGATCTGGTATACCATAACATATGATGTTATAATATATTATGATGATTGGTATTCTAGTGTATTTTAGTCAGTGCTAGTATATTATCGTAGTTCTTTATGGTCTACCGTATGATGTACTATTGTTATTCTATCATATCTTATCATCATATATCATATTATGGCATATCATGTCATATTACATTATAAGTTATGCTCTCATTTTGTACTATGTCATATTGTCTTGCATGGTACTATATTATGTTACTTCATATACTATTGCATTATAATGTGATATGTGATATAATGTTTAATTATATCATGATGTAATATATCATAGTATATTTCATTATATTTCATTCTATCATACCACACCATAGTATATTATATTTTTCAATATCGTATTGTACTATTCCATAGCAGGTTGACTATTACATCATATTGTGACATGTTATATCACAACATGTCCTAGCATATTGCATCACCTCATGTAATGCCATATCATATTTTTTTGTATATGGTATCATATCGCATTTCCAGTGATGTAAATGTTAGTTACATTAGCAACTTATGCACTGTAGTTATTGCTATACACATTTGTATACATATGAAACATCATTTGTTCATGGTTTGACTATTTTTGACTGTCTTCCATTTGACTTCCAAATCCCGCCTGTAGGAGGACATGCCCGACTTGACCCTATCCCCATCCCCATCCCCATCCCGAGCCCCACTATCCCACCACCCGAAGGGAACAGCCCATATCCCCATCCAGAGGGGTAAATCGTCCAGCGGGGCCCAGGCCGAACCAGTGGGGACAGGGATCGGTGAAACGATGCTCAGCCAGCGCTGCTCACGGTCCGAGCCGATGCGTCCGATCCCCAGTCTTCGATCCCGATCTCGACCCGATTCCATCCAGGCCTGATTTGATTCGATTTCGCTCGATTCCGATTGCGATTCGATTCGACCTCGGGTTCCGATTTGGATTTCAGTTTCTCAATGGCGGCCTTACCAGCCTGTCGATTTCCGCCGATTCGACTTCCCCCGACTTGGCGGCTGCGCATTTTCTCCGATCCTATTCATTTCTATCGCCGACCCGACTTATAGACTCGATCCTAGACTCTCCTGGCTCAGGACCGCAGGCATCCGGGCAGAACAAAGACTCACAACCACAACCCACCGACCCCGACATGAACCTCCTGGTTCTGGTTCTGGTTGATTTGGCCGTCCTGGTCCTGGTCCAGTACCAGGCTGGCCTTGGTGTCCTGACGAGTGTATTTAGGGGAGCAATCAATTTCATGAACATAACAACTCGGAGGTCTGCGTGGATTCCTCGGATCGGCGCTGGAGCCCCCTGGCGGCGCCTCCGTCGCCGCCCATGGCGCGCTCCGTGCGTTAGGGAGGGGTGTCCAGCGCCGATCCGAAGAATCCGCGCGGTCCTCAGAGTTTTTATGTTTATGCCATGGCTTGTTCCCCTAGCATTGGCCTGCGCCAGACACATCCCCCAAAGCGTGCCCTCGATGTGGCGGTGCCGACCCGCCTTGCACCCCCTACCCCAGCCTTACGTCGGGCATGTCCCCCTACAGGAGGAACATTCAAAAATAGTTTTAGAAAATAGAGTCAGGGGACGATGTTTCATTTTATTTCAAAATCAGCTTGTAGGAGGACAGGCCCGACCTGACCCCAGGCTCCCCTCACCCCTTGTCGGCCGCCCCGGCCGGTGCGGGAGGCACGCGGTGAACAACCTGCTGCAGGCGGCTGGCGGTCAGAGGTCGGCGACTACAATCGGCGTCGGGCGAGGGGTGGAAGTGAGAAGGAGAAGGCCTTCTCAGAAGGCGGCGGGGCTTCTCAGAAGTCCGCCGGCCTTTGAGAAGTTTTCTGTGTCTTCCGGGAAGGTTTAGAGAATTTCTCAGAAGGCGGGGGGACTTCCGAGCCTTCTGAGAAGGCCTTCTTCTACTCATTTCCCCCCTCGCTCGCCGCCGATACAAAGGGTTTGGTTACGCTGGGGTGTGGTTTGCGATCGGCGCCGTTGGGGCTGGGGGCGCACCACGCTGCCCTCGTCGGGCCTCCTCGGGGGCGCGGCGGAGAACTCGGTCGAGGTCCCCGCCCGCCCCCCATGGTGCGGGTTGCAAGCCGCACCCTTGGCAAGCCACACCTCTTAGGAGTCGCCGAAACGGCACTAACTCTGTGCTCCTTCGGGCCCTGGCCTGGCCGATCTCGGCCCAGGATCGGTGGATCATCCTGGAGCCGGCTGGATCTAACGTGGCCCATCATTTGGTTCCGGCCAGCAGGAGGGGGGGCGAGGCCTGTGTTCTTTGGTTCGAGAAGGCTTTTAGGCTTCTCGGCCTCTGGGGGCCGTTCTCGGACCCCCGGACAGCGGATCGTGGGCCCGGAGGGGTCTGCGGAGCGATTTTGACCAGATTTGCCTATATCCCCCACTTCTTGATCGATTTTTTCGAGGCCCATCCAGTTCAGACCCCCCAGTCGCCTCAAAGTACAATGGAGGAATCATCAGACTCGAGTCAGCCAGAGCTTGGGTTTGCCTGCGCTTTTTTACGGCCCCGCACCGAACTTAATTTTTGATGTCTGACGGTGCAGTCTTCAAGGGAGGTCTGCAGCGGGAGCTCGCGGCAAATTTCAGACTGGGTCGCGTCATTATCCTGACGACCTCGTCAGGCCAACCCGAGTCTCCCGAACCCGAGTCTTGCGTCAAACCTTCCTGCCCAAGCCAGGAGGGCGTATGCGCCGATCGAGTGCCCAGGATGAGCCTGGCCAGGTGTGTAGTTGGCGCCCTCCCGCGCGGAGAGTTTTATTTTTATTTTTCGATTTCGACGCTGAGTAAGCAATGAGCCTGTCAGCAGATGCCGGCACGCAACTCGCAGAATTATTAGTGAGATAGCATCTCTGCTGGAGCACCCAGGTTAAGTAAACGAGGCAGGCAGTACCAGCTGGGCAGTAAAGTGAACTGGTTTTCAACGCAGCCGACCTTAGCGGTCGTTCGTAGTATCTGGGTGGGAGAATTAATTACCTTCACCCCAGCACGGCGAGAACGAGGCGAAGGCGGAAACAGGGCGGCTATCAGTGCGCTTCGGGAGAGGGCAGGAATGATCACCGCTGTTCTCGGGGCAAGCAACAAAAACAGGCTGAGGTAAACAAACTGGCATGTCGCAGCGCACATCTACCAATATCGTGCAGGAGGCCAAACTGGCGCGCCTGCCAAAATGCACTGAATACCTGACTGGGCAAGTTATCGTCTCCCCCTGGCACGGCGCCAAGCAATAGGGCTGCAGACAACGGCGGTCATCTGCGCACTGGGGGAGAAAGACTGGTATTTGCAGGTCGAACTGTGCGGCTCGCATCCGATTGGACTGTAGCGCCGACGGCGAACGCCTGCTGCTGAGTCTGGGCGGGCACGGGACCACAGGGCTGTGTCAGCGACGAGACCGCCAGCGGACAGCTTTGACCATGAACACCGCCAGCCTGTCTCTACAGCTGTCTATACCTCACCCTGTTTCCCCTCTATGGGGCTTGGAGTCGGCCAGACCCGCCGTCAGACCCGCCGTCAGACCCGCCTGACCATGCACACCGACAGACTGCCTTGCATAGCAAGGCTCTGCACGCTGGGACACATTTCCCTCGGTCTGAGAACAACTGAGCAGAGGGGGTTAGGCTGCCATGAGGCACCAACGTACACCTGTCTGACAAAGAGCCTGGTAGAAGGCAAGACAGGCAATGGTCGCAGTCCTTGTGACCCGCTCGCATGTGCCCCTTCCCCGCGGGCCGAAACAGCTTGCAGGGAGCACGAGTGGTCAGGCAACCTGCTGAGTGTCAGAGCAGGCTGTCACGGCACGAAACGAGACGATGGCGGATCATCAGCGGCTATCTGCACTCTCAGGAAGCGGCAGGGCCGAGTTGTCTCGCAGTGCGAACGGTGCAGCACCAATCCCGATTGGACTGCAGCGCCGACGGCGCACGCCTTTCATTGTTCTCGCATCACTGCGGTTGCACGGGGACGTCAGAGCATGGCAGTGCAGATGCCAAAAATGGTTGTACCTACCACGAGTTCCCTGAGCAGACGCAGGCAAAACATGCTGGCCTGTTGACCGAATTTGGCAGATACCCTGGGGCCGTTCGCTGCATACCTGAGAGGGAAGTTTCTTCACCATTCGCACGATACAAAGCGAGGCGGCGGCAAACGACGCCGGTTATCTGCGCGTTGAAAGGGAAAGAGAGAGAAAGAGAGAGCGAGAGAGAGATCAGAAAGACAGGAGCGGGCGGAGCTACGTTCATAACCTGGCGCTGTGGGGAGGGCGTAATGGCACATGTAGGGCCTCGCACGTGTGGTGCGCTTTCGGGTGCACCATTAGCCCCGGCTGGGCTCACGCGGGCTCTTCGCCCTTGGCAAGAGAGCAGCAGTGAGGCAGGCGGCAGGCTGGCGGCTGCTGATCAGGTGTTGAACATGGAGGGGTCGGGCGCTCGGTGTACCACAAAGAGGGCCTCGCACGTGTGATGCGCTCACTGGAGCACCATGTGCCCCGGCTGGGCTCACGTGGGCCCATGAAGAGAGAGAGAGAGAGTCATTGTTCTGCGAATTCCATCGCTGTTTCACTGGAGCCGAGCAATGCTGGGGCCGTCACACCACACGCTGTGAGCACGGTCTTGGGCGAATGGTGCACTCCTGGAAGCCTAAATGACGGCGGCATGGAAGGGGGGATACACACAGACGTGGAAGAGGGAATGCAGTTGATGCGTGAGGGCGGGACAGAGAGATAGAGAGAGATAATCCTTCCAAAAAGACTCAAACAACGGAAAGACGCGCGTGCGGGGCACACCTGGACAGGCAAAGCACGGCACTCGGGAGCCAGTTGGGGCGGTGGAGGAGAGGGGTCCCCAAGTGGTGAATTCTGACACCTGGGGTTGGGCGGGCCTCCAGCCGCCTGCCTAGTACCTCGAGCACCGTCCTGGCAGCAAGCCATCGTCCCGTACTCGTCCTAATGCTCGTCGTCATCATTAGGAGGAGGGGGAGGTCTGGCAGGGAGAAGTCACACATCAGCCAGCAAGGTCAATCGACCTCTAGGGCTTCACCATAGTAAGCTCTCTGGGGCAGACGGGAGCGGGGATGGGATGACAACGCTCGGTGGCCCTCGTCCCTGCGAGCGTACCCTACTGCATTTCTGAGAGCCACTCCCGTGACTCCTGACACGGCGCTCTGAACTAAGGCACTCTCCCCTGAATTGAACACATGGGAAGGCAGCGAGTACACATTCAAGACAGACTGAATGAAAGAAGCCTCCTGCACGCGAGACCAATTCAACACCCAATATGACATCAGAACTTCAAACTAACGGATCCCTCTTGATGGGATGATTATATACAAGCTGATGCCTACTAGGATACCGATCACAAACGAGACGGGGAAACAGCGAAAGAGCTTTTCTGTCGAAAGACTTCACCTTCTCGTGGACGACTGGGCTTCAGCGAATCTGCCAATGAGCCAACTCAGCCTAACTTTCCCAGAACAATCTTCATCAACACCGCGGCTTTGTCCTCGTGAGAGGCTGGCATCTCTTTGCGGCGGACGTGGGAGAGGATGATCTTCTTCGCCGAGCCTGTGGCATGCTTGTCGGTCGCGAGAGCCTTCGCCACTGCAGCCTGGGTCTCATCCTTGGTTCCTCTCTCGGGGAGCTTCGTCTTGGTGCCGACCACGGTCTTGAGCAAGCCCAGCTCCGAGCGGGACAGCAGGGTGCCCTTGGTTGGAGATGGTGCGCGTGCTGGCGGGGTCGGCGGGCACCCTGGCGGTGCCAGGGCCTTGCGGATCTCGTCCGTCTGGGTCGCGAATGCCGTCTTGAGAGCGGAGGCGACGTATTCGCCCTGCCTGCGTAACTCTTGCTCGCGTTCCCTGCAGGCTTTGTCGTGGAGGTATGCCGCGTACTCCGTGTCCTTGGCCTCGAGCTGCTTGCGTAAGGCGTCGATCTGTTGTGGGAGCTGTCGGACCGAAGGGACTTGTCGCGGCTGTTCTTGCTGCGGTCACGGCGGTCTCGATCCCGATCGCGGTCACGGTCACGATCGGAGCTGGAGTCACGACGGTCCTTGCCCTCTCGGCGATAACGATCATCACGGTAATCATCACGGCGGTCATCACGATAATCACGGCGGTCGCGACGGTCTCTGTCACGATCACGGTTTTGTTCATACTGCTTGTCGTACCCACGGCTTCCGCCTCACGAGTCATTGCCGCAGCGGCGTTCATAGCCTTACCCCATGGCTTGCTCAGACGCAGGATCAGTGTACCGAAGGTGGTACCGCCACACGCGCAGAACTGCTCGAACCCTTTGAGCATACATACTCCACGGCACTGAATGGATAACAGCGGCGATAAGATCAAAGGGGTAACCAATGAGAAACATTTCCAAAGCCAACTCGAGAGCCCAACCTGTGGTGGCTCCTATGGACAAGCTAAGATACTGGGCACGAGCGAAGCGGCTCGTGAATAACGAGACAACGCCATTGAACTTCCGTGCGGGCTGCCTTGGCCACTTTATGATGTTGGAACGGGGTCGGGTCTCGGTATCTCCAGCTAGCCACGGTCGATTAGGGTTTTTTGGGGCGAATCACGACTTCAGATTCTACAGCTCGGAGTTCCAAGTCTACCCAGATACACGGCTCCGCAGTACCCTCTATCGTCGATGTTGGGTTGAGGCGTATGGGGCATATTGCACACAGGTAGGCATGAGTACATGCACGGCAATCATGTGTATTCATACCGACGATGTCATCCACATTCGCCGTTGCCCGAGGTGAGGGTTAGGGAGTCCAGGAAGCCGATGAAACCGAGCAGCACCCAGCCGAGCCCCATCATGTGGAGCCTGAAGTTCAAACCAGCACATTAGTCTGACAGAGCCATGCCCGAGAGCATCCCACCGATAGGGAGGCCACGCATTTCATATATGATACCACCGATCGATACCAAGGACATGCGGGAACACGCAACCAAAGCTTTTAGTATATCTGCAACCGATATCTTCAACCATCCAGGTGGTGTAGAACCTTGCCAGGGCCTGGTCTTAGGAGTCCGTGACTGCTTAACTAATGTGGCATCCACTCCTAGTCGTTTTACGACCTCTGTAGCAACTCCTGTCCAGGCACGGGACTAAACTTCTCGAGTGCCTGATCCGCATCAGCCACAACGATGCTGATATCACACATTGGCTCAGAACATCGACAACCAAGGTGAGACAGTTCACTGGGAAGGGAATGGCGAAGGTTGCGGATTTCATCCGCGGCATGGTTAGTGCTGAAGACCTCGGAACTTGTTTTACTTCTGGATAGCAAAACACGTACAGCTCTAGAACACCATATGACCCAGGCGCCTTGGAACAATGGACAACACGACGAAAGCAACCGTGGAAGGGTTTGTGGCATGTGCGCTCGCCTTGCGGTGAAAATCATTTGCCTTTACTGTCGGGAAGACATAGGGCGGCTTCGTGTCCTCCGACAGAGGAGGAAGCGCAGCATACGCTCTGCCCCACATCCACACTGCCGCGTCTCGCGGTGAAATATCTAATCGTAAAGCCCAATCTGGATCGATGATCGCTAGCTGGTGCAAGTACCGCATCATGTCACAGCCGTCGCACATCCAGACCTTGTCGCACTCCTCATCATCCGCTATTATGACACACTCGTTGGCATCCTTCAAGCTATCGCTCACCGCCTGCTCGACCTCGCGCCACGCGCGCGGCGGATCTGGAGGAACGATCCAGCGGTTGGAGACCCACTGGGCGAGGTGCCTGCAGTCACGACGGCGCACCAGCGCGGGGATGCGCGCCTTGGCGGCCCAGCGGCCCAGGGCCGCCTGAGCCTCCTGGAGGGCCCTGTGCGGCCGCGGCCACACCGGTAGGCGCCACGGCCCACCCAGGCGCCGAAGGCGCCAAGGGGCCTACGGTGGCCCCTCGGGCAGGTGCGGGAGCGCCTGGGAGGTGAAGTTAGCACAGTAGCGGCTGGCCGATACTTTGTCCTTCCAGCAAGGGGTCTTGGTGTAGACGGCCCTAGGCGGCTGCACGTACACGTCTATCGCGGGTGCAAGCTTCATGGTCCTGGCCATGTACGTGATAGATGAACTTACCCACTGGCGGTACTCTTGGTCCTGAAAGACTGCTGGCAACTGAATGTGGGGTCGCCGTGCACTGGGTAATTGTAGGCGCCTGAGGTGCAGGTCTATGTGGTGCATGGCCATGCGCTGGCGGTGGTACGACTTGAGGAAGTAGCCCGCCATCTATGTCGCAAGATAGAGATGAGCGCCAACCTCGAGACGGTTCTTGAACGTGAACATGGGTAGGTCTCTCCATTTGGCCGCCAGACACGCAAGTAGAAGTCCGAGTCTCCGCCCCTCGAAGATCCAGAGCGGGCCGATCTCGCCTGAGAGGTGGTAGTGCTCGTATATCTGCAGCTTGAACAGGGCCCCATAAGAAGGCGCAGACTCGGACAGCGCTCCTGGGTATGCGGCCGTGACTGCCTGTTCGTCGCCAGGGAGAGAGAGCGAGAGAGAGAGAGAGAGAGAGCGATCGGGGAGTAGAGAGGCATGCGGCAGGTTGGCGGCTGCCGTTGAGGAGCTGCTGAACCTGGCGGGGCATTTGCCTCGGTATAGCCCGACAGGAGGTGGGGGCTGGGAGGAGGGAGAAGGGAGGAGCCCGCAAGTTCGGATCTCGAAGCTCGATCTTCGAAGTTCGAAAGCCTTGGTCCCCGATGCTCGATCCTCGAGGCTCGAAAACCTCACTGCTCGGCCCTCTAAGCCACAGGCGCCCCCGGGCGCCCCCCGCCACCTGCCACGGGCGGAGGCTGGCGCCATAGCCCGCGCGCAGCTGGCGGAGGACCGGGTCGGACGAAAGAGTCGGGGGCAACGATCGGGGGGATGGGCAAAGGGGGGGACGCATCGACCTCGAAGGGTTGATGCATCCGCATGAGAGCTCATGCGAAAAACAAGAGACGTGGAGCCGGCTTGGGTTCTGAGGTGGCCCAGCACTGGTTCTGGCCAGCAGGAAAGGCGGTCAGATTCGAGGCGCTTTTTTTTTGTTTGTTGTTTTTTCCTTTTTTGGCCTCCGGGGGCCGTTTTGCACCAGATGGGCCCCATGAAGGATCGATTCTGAGCGGATTTGCCGTAATCATCCCTTGTTGAACGATTTTCTCGTGGCCCGTCCAGTCCAGAACCCCCAGCAGCCTTCAAAATTCATGCATCGAAGAACAATCGATTATTTTGTTAAGGGTCTGGCGATAACCCAGATTTTCGGGCCCGCCCATACCTTCCCCCCTCCTTCCCAGGATAACCTGACCTTGTCGGTTGTGCAGGTCCGAAGGGGGGACGCTGCCCTGGCGCTCGCGCGCGCGGGCATTCGCGGGGCTGCGCAAAGCGAAAACATCAGACTATCGGCCGTCACCTCCCCCCCAGCCGATAATCCGGGTTATAGCTGAAAAATAGAAGCGGTCTACAAACACTGCGTAACTTCATTTCTCGGAGGTCCGCGCGGATTTGTTGGATCGATTTCTGGGCCCCTGGCGCGCTCCGCGCTCCAGGGAGGGGGCCCAGTGTAGATCCAAGAACTCTGCTTGGACCTCCGACAGTTGATGTGGATGCAACTTTCATTCCCTGGTGAAGCAGATCATCGAATACCACCGACGTTCAACAGTTCAATGGTGGAGATCGTTTCAAGCATACCGCGAAGCCTTACTTGCCAAAATATGTTCGTGAGCGGAGGAGGAGGAGGAGGAGGAGGAGGAAGAGGAGGAGGAGGAGGAGGAGGTGGAGGAGGAGCAGGAGCAGGAGCAGGAGGAGGAGGAGGAGGAGGAGGAGGAGGAGGAGGAGGAGGAGGAGCCCCCTTCTGCGCCCCCTCCCTTCTGGTCCCTCCCTGTCGTTGCCCCCCCCCCCCCCCCTCCCTTCTGCGCCTCCTCCCCTCTGAGCCGACCGCCGAGGAGATCTCCCGCGTGGCTCGCTCGGGCTGCCTGCCCGCGTCCCGGGACGCGTGCTCCAGCGCGGCCTGGCTGGCGGTGGCCGGGCGGCGAGACATGCCCGCTGCGTTTGCACAAAAGTCGTCTGGGGATCGCTCATCCTGCCCCTCCTCCTCAAAGATCCGAGACTCCGAACAAAAGTTGAGCAGCCCGTTTTTGCCCATTTCCGGCCCCCGGGGACTCTCAACGAGCCCCAGGACCGTCAAAAAAACGCCTCAGGATGAAAAGCTGGCCCTGAGGAGGAGTCCAGATCCCTGGGGACCCAGGCTCCAAACCATCGGAACGCCGCATGTTTGGGCCCCCTTCCCTTCCCCTTGCCTCTTTCCTCCTCTTCCTTCTCCGCCTGCCGCTGCCGCTGAAGGCATCGGAGTCCAGATGGACCCCTCCCCCCCTCGGACATCGCCGTTGGAGGGGCTGAAAAAGAAACATAAGAAGCTCTCGGGGGTGCTTCAGAGGAAGAGGAGGAGTAGGAGTAGGAGGAGTAGGAGTAGGAGGAGGAGGAGGCGGAGGATGAGGAGGCGGAGGAGGAGAAGAAGGAGGAGAGGAGGAGGAGGAGGAGGAGGAGGAGGAGGAGGAGGAGAAGGAGGAGTTAGACCGACCAGAAGGGGGGCGCAGGGAGGAGGATGCGAAAGGAGCTGGGACGGCAGACCGTCCTCCCGGGGAGGCCCGGGCCCTCTTCTGGGCCCTGCGGGCTAGCGAGAGTCGCAGCGTCGGAAGGGAGACGCCCACGTGCCGGCGATCCCGGCGAGGCCCCTCCTGGGCCCGGGGGGGGGCCCGGGGGGGACCTGGGCAGGGCTTCCTCGCCCTCTGATGAGGACGACGACGTCGACGAGCTAGCAGCATAAGGGAGGGACGGAGGGAGGGAGGGAGGGAGGGAGGGAGGGAGGAGCAGGAGGAGGAGGAGGAGGAGGAGGAGGAGGAGGAGGAGGAGGAGGAGGAGGAGGAGGAGGAGGAGGAGGAGGAGGAGGAGGAGGAGGAGGAGGAGGAGGGAGGAAGGGGGATGAGGGGACAGGAGAGTGTGGAGGAGCAGCAGGGTAATGAGGAGGGAGGAGGAGGGAGGAGGGGGGGAGAAGGGGGAGAGAGAGAGAGAGAGAGAGAGAGAGAGAGAAGGAGAAGTGTGTCCGCGCGCGCGGCCCTCGCCTTTTCAGGTGGGGGGGAACTACGACCTGCAGGCGCTGCTGGCGGCGTTGGACCGCCGCGGGTGCCATGCCGCAGGCCGGCGGCGCGCCGAGTGGGGGGGGGGGCGGCGAGCGGCCCGAGACCCCAGCGTCGCAGCTTTTCACGCCAAGTTCGGGGGGGGGGGGGATCGTGGCGGGGACCATGATGTCTCCTTCGGTGGCAACTCATGGGAGCCTGGTGTACCCTCTCAATTCCGTCTTTAGCGTCGATTAGCGTCGATTGGCGTCTGGGAGTCGATGAGATAGGGCCGATTTAGCGTCGGATAGCATCGATGAGCGTCGATTCAGCGTCGGTTAGCGTCGTTTAGCGTCGATGAGCGTCGATTCACAAGAGCCAACACGATGGTATGGGAGGCTCCCATGTGTTGCCACCGAAATCTCTCCCCGGACCCCCCTGGGCCGCGCACATGCCGTCGGCAATGATTTGTGCCCCCCGCCCCCCACTCCTGCACGCCCCCGACAAGCGATTTCGCTATGTTCAGGGCCCCGGGACCCTCGCGGCTCGATCCAGTGCGAAAGTGCAGCAGGAAAGATCGGGTCTAGGGTTAGAAAGTCCATGGTTCTCGAGGGGCTGTTTTTCTTCAAAATGGCCGAAACCCTGTCGACACCATCCTAAAACCCTCCCGAAAGGGTTCGAGGAGGCTGTTCCGATGGTTTCGGCAGGGCTTCAGAAGGGATTCGGTCGTTTTGGGGGTTAACTCTGGTCGTGATCTTGTGCGATGCCGTATTTTTTTCGCGACGTCCGATTTCAGGGACGGGGCAGGCCTTCTCGGAAGGTGGCGGGGCCTCTCAGGAAGGAGAGCTGCTCAGAAGACCGGAGGCCTTCTGAGCCTTCAAGGCCCGCCCCCTCTGCCTTCGGCTTCTCCCAAGCACGCTTCTGCTGGATTTGCGTCGCCCCCACAGGGGTGACGCGCGCGCTCAGAAATCTTGTGGTGTATGCTATATGGCGGGTGCTTTCTGGCCATACCGCTGGGGTAACGATATACTAGTAAGATGGTTGTACTATATGATCTGACTGGACGCACGCCTCCGACGAGGACAACACACAGTACCGGCATATCCTTCTGCGTCCCATGCATCCCGCCCTGGGCGTGCCGCCAAGCAGGGCACTGGGCAGTGGAGACCAGAGGGGACGTCGACCGGCTGGAGCGGGAGCTGGGGGAGCTCGCCGCGGGCGACGCCGCGCCGAGGGTCCGCGGATTGCTCTTGAACCGCAGGTCGCGCTGGAGCCTCGGGCGGCACTGGTGCTCGGGGGGTGGGGAGGCACGCTGGCCATGATCGACTTGACGAACGAACAACACACAGCCATACCCATAAGGGGAACGTTGGGAGGAGGACTGGCTATATGCATGGGTGCGGGTTGTCGGACTGCGGGATCGGCTCCCGTTCGAGCGGGGACCCCCGTCCGACAACACGCATCGAAAGCCCCCTCTGTCCCCCCTGTGGGTGTGGGTGTGTGTTGTTTGTTCGCCAGAGGAGGTGTCGCGGGAGCTTGTCGACGCCGGTCTTGGTCGTGGTCCGTGCCAGCTGTCGCCCATTCGCAAGGAGCGTCCATGGACCGACGGCGGCCAAGGTGGCGGGTGAAGGGTCCCTGGCCCCAACGAAGCCCCAACGAGGGCCCCTGGCCCCTCGCCCCTTTCCCCTCGCTCCCTGGCCCTCGCCCCAGCCCCCTCGCCCCAGCCCACCTCGCTCCCTCTGGCCCCGCAGCCCTCTATTTCAGTCGTTCCCCGGTCGGTGCGTGGCCTGCCCCGTCTCCCCCTGGCCTACACGTACCCAGGCCCTCGCCCCAGCGCGGGGCCAGCAATCAACAAAGACAGCACAGATGCCAAGAACGCCCGACCGCCTCCCTGGTGGTGGCCCATGACTCGACCAAGACTGAACGCGGAAGCGTCGGCATCCTGCGACGTTTTGCCCTCGACATTCGAGGATCGACGAGGATCGACGAGGTTCGACCCTCTTGGATCGACCTTCGAGGATCGACGAGGGAGGGCGCTCCAGGTACTGTCGAAGTCGATCGTCGAAGGATCGACGAGGATCGACTTCGAAAGGGACGAGGATCGACCGTCCTTGGGCCACTTTCTTCTTTCCCTCCAGGTACTGTCTGGCGGCCAGCGGCCGCGACGGCGCCTGGCTCTGCCACGACTCCACCCGGGGGGGCCCCGACCCCGTCGCCGCGGGGTCGCTGGCCGCCGCCGCCGCCGAGGTGCCGAGGCGGAGAAGACGTCGACACTGGCATGGGTTGGATCGGCGGCGAGCGAGGGGGGGAAGTAAGAAGGAGAAGGCCTATTCAGAAGGCGGCGGGACTTCTCGGAAGCCGTCGCGCCTTCTGAGAGAAGTCTCCATGGTCTTCGGGGAAGGCTTAGAAGACTTGTCAGAAGGCCGTGGGACTTCCGAGCCTTCTGAGAAGGTCCGTTCCTTTTCGCTTTTCCTTTTCGTCCGCCGCCTGTTGGAGCCGTCTGAGGGTCTGAGGTCAGCACGCCATGCAGCGGACGGCCATCCTCCGGGTGGCGTCGACCGACCGCCTCCCCGATCCAGGCCAGGCTCACGACCGGGCCCAGGGATTGGTGCGTGCGCTGCCCAGACTCGGGTTGGTGGTAATGGGGGATGACTTGAACAGAGGGTGAAGAAAAGGGCCCCCAGGAGCCTTCTTAGGGCTCCCCCTGTGGAGCCGGCAGGGGCCCAGACGGGGCCCTGAAGGGCCCCTCTAGGGTCTTTTTCTTCACCCCCTATTTGAATCACCCCCCATTTCCGCCCGCTCGACTGCGACTGTCCCCCCCCCGAGGCATCTCCGAGCCGCTCCCTCACAACCCAGGCGCTCGCCCTCGCAGAGGGAGGCGAGAGTTGGAGCCGGCTGGGGGTCTGAGGTGGCCCAGTACCAGGGCTCATTTCGATTCCTCCGATTCGATTCGATTCGATTTCGATGGATTCCGATTCCGATCCGATTCGATGTTGGATTCCGTTTTTGGATTCCGATCTCCTCACGGAGGCCTACTAGCCTGCCGAATTTTCCGCCGATTCGACTTCTCTCGACTCGGCGGGCGATTTCCGCCCATCCGACAAATTTCGATCGCCGATCCGACTAATCGATTCGATTCTGGGCTCTCTTGCAGCATTGGTGCTGGCCAGCAGGAAGGGCGGGCACGTTCGAGGTTCTGGGTTCGGGAACTGAGCGCGTTCCACTACTCGCAAAGTGCCCACTCGCAACGTCCGAACACACAAACATGTCTTCCTCGATAAGTTTGATCGTGAATCCGCCGCGGCGGATCCAGGCCATTTGCGAGTAGTTCCTGTGCGAGTAGTAGAACGCGCTTGTCTGGAAACCTTTTTCGGCCTTTCTCGGCCTCCGGGGGCCGTTTTCGGGCCCCCGGGGCCGTGGAGAACGGACCCACACCACACGGACCCCGGGAGAGGTCCGGGGACCGATCTTGAGCGGACGTGGCATCATCCCCGCCTCTGTCTCGACCGGTTTTCAGACCGGGGTGCTGGGCGCCCCGAGATGTTTCCGTCCGCGACGTAGGGCCAAGCAGGCTGACATTGAGACAGAATACGATGCGCGGGCGGGCCGCTCCTCAGGCCGGGCCTCGCGGGGTCCCCACCAGTTCAGACCCCCTTGCCGCCTCCAAGCCACAGGCTGTTGCCTTCCCTCGTCGCCACGGCTGGATTCGCCTCCACTCTCTGGTGCGAGCGCACCCCTGGATCAGGAGCAAAAGAAGGACGTACACGTACATGAATCCACGTGGGTTTCGAGAGTACGCGTTGCGCGACCGTTCGTACCACGCGGCCTGTCTCTCGGACTGAGAGGCCGCGTTTATGTACGTGGTTGGGCGCGCACGTCCTGTGTGGGTTCCCTACCGGAGAGGTCCGTGGATCATGGTAGGCTCGCGGCGTGCCGACGCGGCGCCGACTCGGCCGCGGCCGTTCAAAGCTGCACGCCGCCAGTGGCCCGGCCCCCCCGCACCACCTCCAGACGCCCCCCCCCACACCCACCCCACCCCCTCCTCTCCCACCATGGCCCAGCACAATCTTCAAGACTCTCCCCCTCGGACCCAGGGAGGGGGTGCAAGACTCAACTTGGCTGGCTAGGGCTGAAGACCCAGTACGGAAAGATCCAGCTATCGGAAAGCCGCCGGTCGCTCGAGGCCGAACCATCCACGCGGTGTCGGAGACCAACGCCGCTGTGCCCACGACGCGAGCCCGTCGTACAGCGAAGACGCCGAAAGAAGGACCGCCGTGGGCTCTTGAGGGGCTCTAGGTCGGGGAACCTGTTCGTGGCCGAGGCTCGCCGTGGCCAGAAAAAGGCTCTCTTTCCCTCCTCTGCATTCCTTCATGACAGCACGATGATTGTAGCGGTGTCGGTTCCTTGTTTTTTATCCCCAGAGGTGGCCCGGGCCGAGCTGGCGCAGCCCTGCCGCTGCCTGCGGCTCTGCTCCGGCCGCGGGAGCGCGCTGCACGTTTTCGCCATCGCGCAGGCGGCCCCGTGAGAGCCGAGGCTGCCCTGGCCGACTCGGCCTCGACGACGTGTTGGAGGAGGGGATCTTTGCGCACGAGACCGTTTCTACCATTCGGCGACGCGCCCAGGGGGGAAGGCAGAGGAGGCTTGCCGTGTCCGAAACTTCAGAAGGCCTCGGGCCTTCCGAGAAGCTTTCCGAGCCTGACCCGAAGCCACAGAGGGCTTCTCAGCAGGCCGAAGGGCTTCTGAGAAGCCCTGCCGTTTTCTGAGGCCTGCCCCCTCTCACTTCCCTCCTTGCCGCGACGCGGAGTCATAGTGGGCGGCTCTGCCGGCGTCGTCGGACGCCAAGTGCGCATTGAATATGGATCTTCATATTGGTCTTCGCTGTCCCAGCGTCGTGGTTACGCCCCACCGGCGGAGATGAATTGAGAGGCGCTGCTGACCAGTCGCTGGCTGGACCCGCCGTTCGTGCAGCGCACCGTCCGTCGAGTAGTCTATGGAGACGTGCTCTATACCCATGGAAAGCAGCTACACAGACAAACCGCAATGGTCCCCAGCCAGGCCCTGGATTGGTGTATCGGGCCGAGCGACAGGGGGGGATAAGGGAAAGGGGGTGGGTACGAAATCTGCTTTGAGGATCAGGATAGCCAGCCATGCGAGCTGATTCTCTGCCCTGCCCTTTGTTGCCTTGCCCTTTCGCCCCCCTCCCCCCCCCCCCAAGAGAGTATAGACCCTCCTGGTCGAGCCCCGGAGACTGTTCGGGCGAAGAGAGCCATGCATTTGCACAGGTCCTGGCCAGGCTCACAGCCTGGGCCCAGGACCAGTGTGTGTGTGTGTGTGTGTGTGTGTATGCTTCCCTGGCCAAGCCAGGAGGGCGTATGCACCTGTCCTGGGATCGGGATTGGCCTGGTCGAAATCGGTGTATGTGCATAGTTTTATGATGTTCTAGTCTACTTTAGCCTTGATCGCCAGAAAGAGTTTCGAGCACCAAGGAAGTACCGAAACTCGAGGGTTTTCGCGTGTCGGGCCCTGGGAGGCGATACTCGCTCGACACTGTTTCGATTCTTTTCTAGGTGCTCGCATTTACTTCTGGGATGTGGTCCTTAAGTGCGATGGGAGCAACATAAGCAAAGCTCTCCTGCCTCGTACACCGCCCCAGCGCCCAGGCTTGCCCTAGCCAGTGGTGGTGGTGGTGGTGGTGGTGGTGTGGAGCTGCTGCTTCCGGATGCTGCGCGCCGCGCGGCGGAAGGCTTCCTTCGGGCTGGCTGCGCCGGCTTCTCATGCCAGACGCATCACATCGTCGACTACACGTAAGAGTGACCCTTCGCTGGAGTGAGCTTCGGTACGGGCCCATTGGTGTCCCCCGATCGCCGAACGCGATGCGATGTAAGCGTCTTGCGTGCTTGCGTTTGGTCCCCCCGCGGCCCCCCAAAAGCCGCGCACCAAAGGTCACTCTTACCCAAGGTCACTCTTGCGTGTATCCGACGTCGTGGGAAGGCACGAGAGATAGCTTCGCGCTGAACTCGCGAGAGACCTGGGCTCGGTCTACCACCCGAGCTATACTTGGAAAGCGAATCTCACTCTGCAGTTGTTCTGCTGTTTGGGACGCTGTTTTGCTAGTCTCAGGATTTAGGACAGCTACACAGCTCTTGCTTGAGGAGTTCTGGAGGCGCCGCCCATACAGTTTGTCTACGGCGGGCGTGCCTGTCGACTGGCAGAAGCGTGTGCCGGCATAGCAGTTCCCTGAGGCAGAAGTTCGGGCGAGCGGGGGATAACGTCTCCTTCTTTTTACGCCCAAGGCCTCTTCGCCCTCCTACCCCTGGAATTGTCCCGAGCATCCGAAAACCATGTACCAGACCCCCTCACCAACCCTGCAGGGCCCATTTCGATCGAGTCGATTTGAATCGATATCGATTCCGACCGGCTCGATACGATTCGATTCCGACATTCCGATCCCCGATACTTGCGCATGGCGCTGTTGTGTATGGTCAATTCGTGTCGTGTCGACCGGCGGCGACCGCGCCGCCGGCAGTCAACGTTGAACCCCGCTTGCGACTCAGAATTGGTCGATGTTGAACGATCTGATGTTTCGGAAACGGCCGATCCTTCAAGGTTGAACGATCCCCGCGTTGTCAGGAACCAACGCCCAGGTCGACACGACACGATCCCGCAGTATCCTGGCGCAGCCGAACCGATCAGATTTTGTCTTTGTGTTGATGTCGTGTTTGACCCCTCGCATCTGGCGCTCGTTTACTTCAGCGGAGACCCCACTTGGGTTTTTGGAGATCCCCCGGTCCGTCTGGGTCTTCCTCCGCTCCGCTGCCTCTCGTCCCTCCTCCCTCGGAGCATCGAGGACGAGGAGGTCGCTTCGCCCGCAGCATTCGGAGGCTTCGTGGCGGTGATCCAGAAGGAAGCGGGCGGCCGCCGTCCTCCGTCCGTGGCCCCACGGCACTCCGACGCCTGATGTACACACCCGGGACCTCGACCGCCTTCCACGGCGAGCCGAGGCCTGAGCAGCCAAAGCCGGTCAAGTCGACTTCGGCCCGAGGGCCGATGCAGCCCCATGCGCAGATGTGTCTCGATGCGACGAGCGTTCCGGTTCGATCCGCTGTCCCTGCTTGATGCCGACGCATCCTGCCTTGGAGCTGTGTCGAGCGTCCGCAGGCCGACCCGATTTCGCCCCCCTCTCCTTTGCTCTTCCCGCCCTCCCCGTCCCTCCTCATTCTCCTACATTCCTGCTCTCCTCTGACTGGGTTCACTCCAAGTCGGAGGATGAGGACGAGAAGGAAGAGGGTGGGATGGGGGAGCTGGTTCGCCCGAGTGTCGCGGTGCTTGACATGCATCAGCTATGAAGACTCGACCACCCGAAGCACGCGCGGGCCCGCGGTGGAGTTTCGTGTCTGTTGTACGGAGGCGGCAACGTGTCCCCCCCGACAGCAGGCCCGCCATCACAGATGTCGTGGTTTGTGCGATCAGTTTGACACAATCCCTGAGCGTGCAGTTCGATTCTCAGAACGACAGACATGGTAAATTACATTCTTTCCCGTGATGTGTTTGCTTGCGTAGGTACCAAGCAGCGCAGCACGGCTAGGCAGTTTCAGATAGTAAAGCGGTAGAGGAGTATTGGACGTTGGAGCATGGACATGGGAAGGGCAAGTGCACGCTCCCACTTTCGGACGCAGAGTATGAACCATGTGGTACCGGTTCCCCGACTTCCCTGGGGACGCGCGGCTGCTGTGCTGATTGCAAATGGTGAGTTCCTAGCGGGATTGTTATCGATGTGTGTACCCCCACGCCAACGATGACAAAAACAACGCGCCAACTATGATCGCACGTTGAACATGCTCCTAGGGTGGCTACACACCGCGTTTTCACTAATTATCACGCAGCTCGGGACGGGCGACAATCATTATATTCACCGGCCTGCATTTAGGAAATCCTTACACAGGCGCTGGTTGAGTTGCAGGACCTTTGCGCAAGGGAATGCGTCACCGTCAATGACCTGCCGCTGTCCAGCGGGTGGAACATGGTAATTGATACTGCAGATTTCCAGAGTCCAGGCAACTACGTTGGAGAGACTTGAGTTCCGTTTATTGATCATGTCATGGCTCATGACAGTTTAATGTGTGCATTTGGAAAGGCTTGGAAAACGGTTAGAGCTGCATATCACAGTGCTTGCACGATATCCTCGATCGATCCAGAGAACATTGGTTTTGTTTTCGCCGCCGCAGCCAATCAAGATAAGACCGATCGCAGGTATCGAATCCTTGCGCAAATGCGTGCAGGCAGGATTCAGAGCCAGGAGCTCTTCGAGTGTGTGGAATGAGAAGCAGCAGTGAGAAAAGTAGAGGTGGAGGAATACGTGTGGACGGACCCAACAATGTATCCATTCACGTTCTGAATGAGTAACTGCGCGGCTGTTTCCGTACGGGCCCGCTTCGCACAGGGATATTACGTCGGAGCGCAGCAGAGCTTCGGCGACCACTGCCACTCAGACGATGGTTGCGAGCTGGCAGCCACGAGCATCAGGACGAACGACAATTGGCAATTCTGCAAGCAAGTACCAGATTTTGAGTGAAAGCTGAAGGCACACGCAACGAAGTACTGGGATACTACCAGTGAGAGAAGGCGCGAGGAACTCAAGGAGGCGTTGAAACAAAGAAATGGGAATCCAATGCGTGAGCTAGCGGGAATTGATTGCAGCAGACGTCGAATACCGAGCCAGGGACAACTTGCAGCATCACCTGGGCCATCATCTGCACCATCGCAGTGGGCATTGAGAATGCATATGTTAGCGTCACAGGTAGGCGTTTCAGCAATGCCATGCACACTTGATGATGACATGCGACCTGAACTGAGCAGGGGACAGTGGCCAGCACGAGTTTAATGAAGCATTGTGCTCTGCATCGGGGGACTGGAGGGCCCGCCTGGAGCGTGCGAATTGAACCGTTGCGCCGCATACTTTCCCGAAGTGAGTCAACCCCCACCGAGCGGCAGTGCAGGGGGGCGCAGGGCGCAGTGTCTGGTTTGAAGAGCCGGCCCCCGCGCTCACGATTCTCGGTCGTCTAGGCTTGAGTGCAGACGTCTTCGACGCGCCCCCGCAGCATGGCACGAGTCACTGGCTGCGCGTATGCGTTGGGAAACCGACAAGAACGATTGCAAGGAGGGAGGGTGGTGATTGTAATGCGATCGCTGGGGAGATGCACGAATGGGGCCGCGACTATACGAACGCGACCCGAATGGGCGCGACCATATCGGATATGGGGAGCTCAGAGGGAGGAGGGGTAGTGCAGTGGGGCTGCAGTTTTTTTGACGTCGTGCAGAGTGTACCATGCAGGCGTCAGTCGCATGATGAGATGCCGCGGCGCAGTCGACGCTTTGCCTCTCGCTGCACCCCGCGGATAGAGCGCGGCCCATCGTGTCCATGGCGAACTGCAAGGTGGCAAGATTATGCGGGACGTATCGCGCGAGGCCTGTTCGTTTTCTAGGTGAGCCTGAAGATCGCTGTCTCTGACTAAGGGGAGTGTTGTT